TTCTCTCTCTCTCTCTCTCTCTCCTTCCCTCATACCACACACACACACACAGACGTGACAACTAACATAGATCTGCCCGATCTTCACTATTTTTGAAGCGTTAAATGTTATAATTAAAGTTAATAAGATATTTTAAGGCTATCACAAAGATTTCCAGTATTGAAACTACTTTTCTCAACTCTATTTGAAGGTGGGCTCGAATTTGATTGTTTGGAGCCTCGAGTCTATGCAAACCGCATCCTTTTTCATATAATGGTTCTTCCAGCAGCAAGCCAAACAACATTGTTTGCTAAACCAGCTTGTATATATACTATAATCTGCAAAACCAAGTATTGAGAAAAACCCAAGATTTGCGTATCTAGGGACCCAAACGACCCATAAGTTCCCTTGGATGTCTTCATTCTAAATTCTATCATTTCTTGCCTTGCCACTCATCTATTTCCACATCTTCATCTCAGCTACCCTCATTCTATGGATATGTTTCTGGATAGCCCAACATTTCATCCCATAATGCATTGCTAGTCTTACAGCTGTCCGATAGAACTTCCCCTTGAATTTCATTGGAACGAGACAATCACATAAGACTTCAGAAGCACATCAGCTCTAATTATATGCCTGACAGCTTCTTCAATCTCTCCTTTCCCATATATATATATATAGGAAAGTCTTAAAAAAGCGTATAGGTGAATTGCTACAGTGTTTCGCCCTGCCACAGACATGCTATGCCCGTGGCGGTTTATTGAACGGAGCCACAACTGACGGCACGTGATCCGTGGCAATTCTGTGTATTTTTTTAACCGCCACGGACTTGCTATGTCCGTGACGGTTTGACCGCCCGGACATGCTAGATCCATGACTGTCTTTAATCCTCACCGCCCGAAAAAATTGGACGGCGCTGAGCCTATGGGCGAAAACACTGTTCATTCTCACCACCCATAGGCATTGCCTAGTGGCTTTCTATATATATATATATATATATATATATATATATATATATAGTAGTAC